GGAAAGGAGAATCTGCTAGCCTGCCTGCCAGCAGTGAGAAAACAGGACAGATCTGGTGCCAGGCTGAGCCACACGGAGAGCGTCCCAGCATGCGTCAGGAAGGTCAGATGTCGGGCAGTCTCGCCTCCCGTCTAACCTGGAAGTTCAGCTCCCTGAGGATGAGTCTCCTCACCCGAGATGGGGGAGTCCCCAGAATGTGCTCTTCTATAATCTGTTCTCAAGTCCTGTTCTATTTGTGGGGTGTGAAGCACAAATCCGCATGACGTGGTCCAGTTTCTACTGGTCCAGGAAATAAAAGATTTGATAAAATCTGGATGGTGCACCCTGAGGCTAAACTCAGGCATTTGGCCAGACCAGAAATTTAAAAATCAGCTCTAGAGACTACTACAAAATGTTATCTCAGCAGCAGATGCGTGGGTGCAAGCCTCGTCCAGATAGCTTAGTGAAGGGAGAGGTGAAAGGGAGAATCGGAGGTGGGAAGGCTGTACATATACACCACAGAAAGCCACAGCCTGGGAATTGGGCAGGCAGGTGGATTTTTTAAAAAGCCTTTGTCTTTGGTCTATAGCATAAGTTCGAGCACATTTCTTAAAGTGTACCTGGCTAGCCAAATACTTCAGAATCACCTGTATGCTTATTAAATGAAAAATTCTAGGACTTGAGCCAGGGCTACCGATAGAGAATTTCTGGAGCAAATGCCGTGTAATCTGCATTGTAAACAAGCACTCCAAGTGATTTTAGGCAAAACAATTTTGAGAACCTCCTGAACAGGAGAGGATGGGCATCTCTAACGTCTAAGAGATCCATTTTTGTCAGATTGCATTTTTCTATCTTATTTGACTCTAGATTTAATTTTCCACTAGTATTTTCAATAGCAGGAAAATGATCAAACTATTTTGAGTTTCTAAAGTAGAGAGATTAAAAATGGATAAGAGATTGATCCAGAAATAAAAGAGAGAAGGTACAAATATATAAGGAATGAAAAAGGGAATACAACATCCAGCAGATATAACAAGATAATGAGAATACTATTACCAACTTCATGCCTATTAAAATTTTGTACACAAAGACAAATGGACAAATTGCTAGAAAAAATATAACTTACCAAAAATAATCCCAAAATATAACTTAACCAAAAACAACTCAAGACTAAATAGAGAACTTGAATGGTATTGTAACTATTAAGTAGTTTATATTTTTCCCACAAAGAAAATACCAAGATAATTTGGTTTTTACAGAGGGTACTAATGAGAATGGAGAGTGCACAGATAGCTCCTGAGACCGGGGCAGGATTTTCCTCAAGTATTTAGCAAAGTACTGATCAGTTTTATGAGTGAGAAAATCACCCACAGCCAGACAAAGAACCCACAGAGTCAAGTCTAGTGCATACTTTACCAGTCAGAATGGAAAACGTAATTCACAGCCTTGGTTATAAAGGTTACGGCCTCAGGAATGGGAAATAATTAGATCTAGATTAAAGGTTGAGAATGGCTGCTCTAGTCTATCCCTAGAACCTGTGACTATGTTATATTACATAGCAAGGGAGAATTAAGGCTGCAGATGCAAATAATAGTGCTAATTGACCTTCAGGTGGGGCAATTATCCAGGTGAGCTCAATCTAGTAACATAAAGGGAGAAGAGAGGACCAGAGAGATGGAATGTAAAGAGGACTTAATATGCTGCTTCTGGCTTTTGCTTTTTGTTTTGTTTTAGAGATGGGGTCTTGCTATGTTGCCCAGACTGGCCTGGAACTCCCGGGCTCCAGTGATTCTCCTGTCTCAGGCTCCCAAAGTTTACCATCGTGCCTGGCCCCAGAGAGTAATTTTTTTTTAATTTTGAGAGAGGGTCTTACTCTGTTGCCTGGGCTAGAGTGCAGTGGGATCATCATAGCTCACTGCAACTTCAAACTCCTGGGCTCAAGTGATCCTCCTGCACCAGCCTCCCTCATGGCTACAGGTGTGATTTTTGTATTTTTTGTTGAGATAGGATCAACTACACCAGGCTGATTTTTGTAATTTTTGTAGAGCTAGGATCTTGCTATGTTGCTCAAGCTGGTCATGAACTCCCGGCCTCGAATGATCAACATGGCCTCCCAAAGTGCTGGGATTATAGGTGTGAGCCACTGCACCTCGCCAAGGGAGCAATTGTTAACATTGGGAATGTAACTTCTTATCAGCTAACATTCCACATTTTCGAAAAAACTTTACAAAGTACAGTTAACCTGAGGAAAGAGATGCTTCAGCTGTTTTTTGCTCAGTTTATTCCCATAATCTTGGATTAACACACAGATTAACATTAATATCTATGACTGCCAGAAACTGTATTATCTACAAGGAAACTGATAGTCTGTCCCCTTCCTAACAAACTAAAATTTTCTTAGCTAACTAGTTTTCATAAGACCTGCAATATATTTTTATCTTGGAAAACAAAAGCAAATTCACAACAGTGACATATGACTGTGTTTAGCACACTACATTTAATACAGTAAAATATTTTTAATCCTTTCAGAAAAACCTTTTTCATTAGAGGCATTTATATCCAGACACAATGGAACAAGAGTCTGACGATATTCTCCAGGCTAGAGCTTTTAAAACACCTATCATTTCTCTTTTAGTGTTTCAAAAGACGCTTCTGAACATCACTTTTTTTTAAGGGAGGTTTTGCCCTGCGCTCCGACAACGTACCTGCAGGTGGCAGCACAAGCCCGCCACACAGAGGCTGCCCCGCTGCCCACACCCTCTGCACCTGCAAGGCTTCCCCTGCCACTGCTTTGAACCTTTACTTCCCCATCCCCCCATTCCCTCATCTCACAGGGGGCTGACGATGCACTTCTCCATGCAGGTCCAAGCCCTGGACCACTCAGCATCGATCCCACGGCTCCATCTCCTTTGTTGTATCACAATCCCACTCACAAACCTGGAGTTTATGGGCTGCTACCCAAAGCCCATCTACCAGACCCCAGAGCTAAATATGACTTGTAGCCACCACGACCAAGACTTTTATTACCCAATGCCTTCACAAATGGCAACTGACCGAATGCATCAGCAGCACCAAGAGCAGAATCACTTCTGGCAGCCCAGCTGCAAGTGGGTTTCTGGCTGTGTTATGTGAGCAATGTCTCTGGAACACCAAAGCATCTACAATAGTGAAAGTTTAACAGGCCTGGTGGGGAGAGGGAGGAAGGCTGGTGATTTCCACCGTGCAACTCTCAAACGGCCAGTTTCAGCTGCTAAGATGAAGGAGCTGGGAAGATGACCTGGGGGCTCCATAGTTCCGTGGGCTGGCATAAGCTGACTCTAGCTGGCTTGGGTTTGGGTTATTTAATTAAAATCACTAATATGATAAAATTGTATTAATTTGGTCCTCGTGTAATACCTTACATCTCTGAACCTGCTCATCCTACCTATCTGCCGTTTTGTACCCTTTGACTTGACTCTTCCCATTTGCTCTCCCCCACCCCTGCCCATGGTAACTAGTATTTCATTCTTGGTTTCTCTTTTTTATATACTATATGTAAGTGGGATCGTGCAATGTTTTCTTTCTGTCTGCCTTATTTCATTTCGCATAATGTCCTCCAGATCCATCCATGTTGTGGCAAATGGCAGGATCTCTTTCTTTTTGTGAGGCTGAATGATACTCCGTTGTGTGTACATTTGTGTACCTGTGTGTACAAGGTCTGACAATTAAGTTGGCACACTCATCCTAGAAAAAGTGCTCCAGCCCTCACTGCTGAATATCACTACAGTCACCTCTGAAGTACTCCTCTTGGGAAGTACCTTTTCTAGGATGAGCTTGTGAACTTAATCGTCAGACCTCATACGCTGACAGCTCTGATGGTCAGTCAAGAAAAAGAGTTCCAAAACTGCTTTGCAGGGTGGAAGAGGAGCTGGCGTTGGTGCAAAGTACCTTGAAAGTGACCATAGTCCTATTCGGCAGTGAGATATGTGGCCCTTTTTTCTGGGATGAGTTTGTGAACATAACTGTCTGACCTCGTATACACACACCGGCACACACACATGCACATTTTCTTTGTCCACTCATCCATTGGTAGATATTTAGATTGGCTCCATATCTCTGCTCCTGTGAATAATGCTGCACTGGACATGAAGGGCAGGTAGCTCTATGAGGTGACGATTTCATCTTTTGGGGGGATATACTCAGAAGAGGGCTGCTGGAAACACAGCAGTTGTATTTTAATCTCTTTGGGAACCGCCATCCTGTTTTCCATCACTGCAGCACCAACCTACATTCCCGCCAACAATGGTCTAGAGTTCCCTTTTCTCTACATCCTAGTTGACATTTTTTTCTCGTCCTTTTAATAAGCACTTTTTCTTTCAACACAAATTTACTCCAACCTTCACCCGCCTCCTTGATGTGGGACTAGGGTGAGGCATATGAGGTGCCTAGAATATAAACTTCAAAGAGACACCTGGTCTCAGGATCATGCAGGTGCGGGTGGTATGAGCCTACGGCCCTAAGGGAGAGGACTTCCTTAGACTTTGCACCTGCGGCACCTCAACGGCCATGCAGCTCTGCCGTCCACTCGTAAGTGGACCAGCCCCTGACTCGAGCATAAATTTCTCTTGGGCACTTTGGAAAATAAACAAATCACACAATAACCCTGAGGTAGAAGAGGTACCTAAGTACAGGAAAAAAACTCGGACTCAGCTGTGACCTATCTTTATTCACACTGGGAATGGGAAGAAGGACGCGGAGCCATGTCTGGGGAAGTGGGATGGTGCTTTTCAGATCCTTCGGGTTGATCCACCTGACAGCCATTTCTAACTCCCTCTCCCTATCTCCCCACACTATTCTCCCTTGGCTGGAAAGGCTAATTACCTGCTTTCCAAGTTTTTCTTGTATCTATGAGTGACCAAGAAACTGTTCTAGTTAATGATCTGCAATCACAAATCTACTAAGGGTTCCCACAGAAGCTTTTTCTTTACACACATTGAAGCCTGGAGCTGCAACAGTCACACTGCAAACATGAATCAAAATAAAATATGTGTAAGAGCCTGAGTAACGTGTGATGTATATTAGCCACGGCCCCAACTCTGGACACCCTACCTCTAGACTTACTAAGTGAAATCTGTTACTTTATGGCTGAAAGCAATGAAGAATTGTTATCTAACACACAGTATATGTGGTTAAAGGCTCTCATTCTCTAAGGTACAAAGTCAATAGATGATGTCTAAAAGTGTAAAAATCAAGAGAGAACATGTCAAAGCACATTACTTAGAAACATGACAGGAAGTACCTGAAGCCAGCTGAAGGGACCAAAACTGGATACCACTATGCAGTGAGAACTGGGGACAGAGGAACAGGGGATTGCTATTTTTCATTATAAGCCTTACAGCAAGGCCTCTCAACATCAGCACTGCTAACAGGCTGGGCGGATGGTTCTGTGCTGTGAGGGGCTGCCCTGGGCGCTGGCTAGCTGTGTCCACGGCCTCGGCTCATTACATGCCAGGAACAACGCCCCTTTTCCCCAGTTGTGACAACCAAAAATGTTTCCCACCATTGCTAAATGACCTTGGGGCAAAATTGCCTCTAGTTGAAAACCACTGCCTTTCAGCACTATTTTTAAAATTTTAAATCATACTGTAAATGTATTTAAAACTAAAACTAAATTAAAGATAAAGAGAGAATGGAAAGAGCTAAACTGGAAACCGCCACGTGTTGTTTCTCCCTTCAGACGCTTCTCACTCTCCTTAAATGAGCCCCCCCGGGCCTAAGAATCCCACAGCCCCTCTCAGGCGAGCAGAGGCACGACAGAGACACTTACCACCCAGAAATGCACACTCGTAGTGGCTGCAGGTCTTGTTTGTGCTTTGAAGGATAAGGGTATTGCCAGCCCCTTCCCGCGATACTTGAAAAACCTCATTCAGAGGTATTAAAGTAATTTTTTCACTTTCTTTATCAAAAAATTTTTCAACAGCAACTCCAAAGCATGTGTTGATGGATAACACAGTAAGCTGGTCATTAGCAGCTTGAGGTTTGGCTGAATATGCCAAAGTGAAGCGGCCAAACCTGGCCTGGTTCAGCCCTCCAAATGTAAATGAAGTGTTCTGGCTTGCTCTATATACCACGTTTTTGTAGCTGTCATCACAAGATCGTCTCAGCAACTGCAGGGCTCTTGTTAGGTAAAAATGAAGAGCTTTGAATTGGAAGCTATAGATATAATCTTTTCGAGACTGGCCAGCCATCATCACAGCTTCATTGAAGAGAAGGTAGAAGGGAGTTTGCTCGTGGGCTTCAGAAATATATGCCATGAGGGCTATTCCATGGTTATCCTTAAAACTCACAGGGAGAGAGAGCTGGGTCTTTCGGGCTTCCCATTTGGCTTTTGCACTTTCCCACACGGTATCTAAGAGCTGGTGGCTCACTTTTTCCTCCTCGAGCAGTCTGGAAACATGCTTGAGCTCCATCCTGTCAGTACATTTCAGGTATTCATCATCAAATGCGTTATCTGCCATGTCCAACATTTCAGCCTTCACCTTCGAAGGAAAAGGAAATTAATACTCTTGAAATGAGATATTTAGTGAATATCATTTTCTCTCACATTACTACCCCTGCCCTCTCATGCCCTGCCAAGAATCTCTCCTTACTTATAACCAACTATGGATATGTTTTTAGGTAGGAAGTATATTCCATTGCTACTGATGACTTTCTCAGTGTGACATTTATTTGTAAGAAATGTCAGTGGGTAAAAGATATGGGTAGGATTACACCTGTAACTCACTTATCTGGTGGCACAGAGGAAAGAATAATGAGTGTGAAATTAAAGAACTGGGTGGCAATCCTGGCTCTGAGCAATATCTTGCCTAGATGCTTCTCAAAACTTCGAGACTGTTGGGAATTTAAAATATCATATGTAAAATATTGTATATGATAGATAACACATAATGACAAATATTACCCCTTTTCCTTTGAGAATGCCCCCTCCCTTGTCCAGATGGCTTGGACAGAACTGATTTTACACTCTCCACCAAGAATATAAGTGATCCAAGCCTAGCAATCAGAACACTCCCTGAGGGGGAAAAAAGATCTTTCTTCCTATAAAACCACAAAATCTAAAGATTATTTATTTATTTTGAGACAGATTGTTTGTTTATTTATTTCTGTTGCCCTGGGTAGAGTGCCACGGTGTCATAGCTCACAGCAACTTCAAACTCTTGGGCTTGAGAGCTCCTCTTGCCTCAGCCTCCTGAGTAACTAGGACTACAGGTGCCCACCATCATGCCTGACTTTTTTTCAGAGATGGGGTCTCGCTTTTTGCTCAGGCTGGTGGTCTTGAACTCCTGACCTCAAGTGATCCCCACACTTTGGCCTTCCAGAGTGCTAAGATTACAGGTGTGAGCCACCACACCCAGCTGAGGCTCATATTGACTTGGGGCTTCCAATGGTTAAGTTTTAGTCCAATGGGGAATCCTATCTGAAAATAAACCAACAAAGAAGGGTTTTGCAGAGCTAAGAGGCAAGAGAGATGAACCCCTGAAAAATACTTACAGCCTTGAGTCTAGCTGTACCTGAAGACTGCGTTTTTCTCCCTAATTGCTTGAGCTAGTTTGAATTGTGTTTCTGTCATATACAATGGGAAAGGCCTAATGCAGCTCTAAATGACATGTATGTTCACATACAGTAAGAATCAGGGGGGTGGAATATTACTGACACTAATTTGAAGCTGACAAATCTGAGTTCAAATCCCATTTCTGCTACTAACTAGGTATGAGAGTCATTTGACATTTCTGAGCTTCAATATTCATTTAAAAACTGAGAATAAAGTGCAGGAAATAATATCCTAACTGCAGGGTTTCTGTGAGGATTAAATTACATAATGAATGAAGGCAAAGCTCTCACACCTCCATGCCTGGCTCATCAAGCCTTCGACACACTGTGCTGATTTTTTATTATTTCCTGACGGGAATGTGTGTGTTACACTGCAAGTTCTTCGAGGGCAGGATCTGTAACATTTTTATCTTTGAATCCCAAGCACCTAGCACTGAACCTGGCAAAATATTCAAGTGCACTGGCTTACGGATCAAAAATAGAATGAGCAAATTCACCAGAATCCCCAGTGATGGGCTTCTACAAATGAAAGAACAGAGCCTTTTTCTCCACTGCTTTGCATTTGTGTGGTGTATGGCTACCCTAGGCTGCTCAGGAACCTCAGCTGGAGATCTGACAGAGACACTTAGCCAGGAGCTACTAACATTATAATTTTGATGTGAATGCTTCTTTAAAAATATGTGTGTGGGCTCAGCGCCTGTGGCTC